AATTTATATACAATAACTACATTGAGTCTTCACACAATGTAGATAGTTTGAAGATTATTGGCGAGGGAGATTTACGTCAAGGATTAAGGCGAGAGAGATGCAAGCAGAAAATTGGCGAGGGGGAGGGAAGCTGGAGGCAAAGTCGGCGACGATCTGATCGAAGGGCCGATGATCCCCGGCTTTGAGCAACGTCAACACCGTGTTCGATTTCTTCTTTTCCTAACATCCTCTTGTTTCTCTCTCACTGGGAGTCGCACACACTGAAGTTCTACTCGACGTTCTCTTCTTTAATCTTTGCAAGGAAAGAGATGAAAGGAAAGAGAAAGTGGGAAGATACAGTCCTATAATTATGCCTATTATAAATGAACCCTTAATTATATATATCCCTAATTTGAATTATGGTATAAAAATGGTAATTTGGTATGCTGAAATGTAATTAACTCAAAACTTAAACATTGAGGGTAATAAGGTTTCATATGTGGTATAGGAAGGTAAAAACCTCTTTTTTAATGGATAAAATACATAGATTACCCCCTGAACTATGGACCAAATCCCTGTTACACACTTTTTGAGCACTAAAAGCATCTTACACACTCAACCTTTTCAAAGTGTATCTGATACACACCTATTTTGCTACGTGGCTTTTGCGTGCTTAACAAAAAAAGATGAGCGCGTAAAGTTGTAAATATTTTGTCTAAATCTATATTTTAATGCCATGTGTCATAATAATAATATTTTCCTTAATTTCCATTTTTATCAAATGAAAAAAGTTGTCAAACTTCTCTTTTGTCTCAGATCCTGTTGGATAAATTTGATGAATATGAAGAATAAAAGATTTAGCTTGAGGCGTGTCAAGGACACTGTCCTTAAGGATATTTCGCCTACACCGGGATGAATAAAATTAGGCCTATTCCTCAGGATTCAACAAGCTCTTCTAGTATAAACCAGGAGCAGAAACAACAAAGATTAACAAAGACAACCCAGCACAATAGAAGAAAAGTTTTACTTTCTTCCACCTTCAAAATCAACACAAACATATACTTATATATAGTCCAAATTGGACATCTGATTGAATGTAACATTGCATATTAAAGTAATGTTATCAAAGTTAAGAAATATTTTCAATAAGAGACGTTACATAACTTTAGAGCAATAAAGTCGAAAACGTTTCAAATAGCAAATTGATTATCATAATAAATCAAGCTTATTTTAATAGCCATAATGATACTCATTCAAGGTTAGTAAAAATATCATATTCAAAGCTATTAAAATTTTCAGTTATAGATAATAAAATATATTCAATTAATTGGTACAATAAAGACACATTAAGATAACATTAAAAGAATGTACCAAGACATCAATTTGAATATTTCTTTTTGAGATATTAAAATTATTTTTTCCAACAATCCCCCACATAGCTCAAAAAGAATATCACGAAATAAAATAAAATAAAAAATTCTGGATTTTCACAAATAAGCATAATGCGTCGAATCTGGTGTCTCTTGGACTATGAACCAGACCTAGATAAAATAAGATTAAACTTACAGAATAATTGGTGAAGTTTAAAACTTCTATGAACCAAGAATTCTTTTGTAAGTTTAGTGTCTTATCTATCACATTATACCCCAACACACTTTGTTGTTTATCGCGGTTTTGCGCTAATAGGCCATGCGCGCGCCTTGTTTTCATGAGTGCTCTAGAAATTTTTTGCCATAAATTTCATAGGAGCGACCCCACTCCACACTCATATAGGTCCATCCATCAAGTGTATTCTGCAGCACAATACACCACCTATAAAAGGCTATGGATTATTAGATTGAGAGTTTAATAACTCAACCTCTCATTCCTTGCAGTCTTGCACTATATACACACACACCATAGGAAGAGACATAATTTGATAGTGCATATTTGATCAGCTAATGACTTGTTATTACCCATATGAACCTACTTCATGGGAACTCCAATCACATAGGTTGGGTTACCATTATTGTTGATACATCTCAACTGGCAAAAGTCTCAACCCCTCGATGTTTCACTTATAAGTCAAAGGATCGGCCAAATCCTCTTTTGACTACAAATAATATGCATAAAAAATTCTCATCTCTAAGCAATTGCTTTATGATATTATATTTTAAAAAATATGTCTACTCTTCCCATTGAAAGATTTATTTTCTTACAATGGTTATTGCGCCTTGGCAATCACAATTCATCGACATAATTATTGTCGGTTTAACTCACCAAGAGGTTGCTTAACCAACCTCACTTCCATGCAATTTTAATACCACAATGCATACCAAAAGGTAACCACACAATCACTTTTGAGCCTTTCTCATCTGAATCAGAGATTCAATATCATCACTGTATCCTTCTAATACAGTGAAAAATTCACATACAAAATACTAACTCATAGTATTTCTCAAATAAAACATAAAATCATCTCAAATGAAATAAAACTTGACTTCAGTACAAGTGCCTTTTGAAACATCTTTCAACACATAAGAATTTAGTTTTCCTTTTGGTATCTTCCATACTATAATACCAAAGTAAAATTTTTAAATATAGAAGCAACTTTAACTTCTACAAAAATATCTCAAATCAGTAGAAAACGGGTCATAACTGAACGATTCTTCACCCACATAACTAAGAGACCGAATCAGCATAACTTTTTAAAACCAGAAATACAACATATTTTTGATCTCCTAATACAATTTTTTTCACAAAAATTTCAATATTGTAATGCTTTATTATAACACTAATAAATAATTTTTTCTTACATTTTTCCTTCTTAGGATCAAGCTATATAACTCTGGACACCATGGTCCCCCACATTTTCGAAAATTTCAGGTTAAGGAGATAATCTTTTCACAACTCAAAAAGAGTTTTATTTTATAAATAACAAGCTAATAATATAGCTTCACCTCGAAGATTATCATATGAACCAATAAGCATGCAATTTATTAATTAATTAAAAAATTCCAATATCTTAAGTAATAAATGTAAAATAAATATTTAAATTCGGTACATCATCACAAGAAAAATCAAACCATTTAATCTTATGTGCGTTAAGATTGTTGGATAAATTTGATGAATATGAAGAATAAAAGATTTAGCTTGAGGCGTGTCTGGGACACCATCCTTAAGGATATTTCGCCTACACCGGGATGAATAAAATTATGCGTATCCCCCAGGATTCAACAAGCTCTTCTAGTATAAACCAGGAGCAGAAACAACAAAGATTAACAAAGACAACCCAACACAATAGAAGAAAAGTTTTACTTTCTTCCACCTTCAAAATCAACACAAACATATACTTATATATAGTCCAAATTGGACATCTGATTGAATGTAACATTGCATATTAAAGTAATGTTATCAAAGTTAAGAAATATTTCCAATAAGAGACGTTACATAGCTTTAGAGCAATAAAGCCGAAAACATTTCAAATAGCAAATTGATTATCATAAAAAATCAAGCTTATTTTAATAGCCATAATGATACTCATTCAAGGTTAGTAAAAATATCATATTCAAAGCTATTAAGATAATATTAAAAGAATGTACCAAGACATCAATTTGAATATTTCTTTTTGAGATATTAAAATTATTTTTTCCAACAGATCCTTCCCAAACGATCAGCACCCCTCCCCCCTCCCTCTCTGGTCTTCTCTTCCCATCGTCTCTTCCTCACCATTACAAAAATCCACCAAAACTCTGATAAATTTTTTAAAGAAGGTGTTGTAAATTTTCTCTAAAATTGCCCCTTTAAACTTCTCTCTTGCTTCTTTTATTATCATTAAAATCTACTAAAACACCCAATTTACCTAAATAATAAAAAAATTATATTTCATGAGAATGACTGAAATTCTAAAATTTCCAACTCAGCCTCTTTCATATAAGGGAAGATTTGAGATTTTTATTCACGATGGAGTTGTTTAATTAATGAAAACGAAAAACTGATTTTGATTTGCTTTATTTGGTTGTGTATGAGATCTAAAAATGGAGGAGGGAAATGGAGAACGGAGGAGTTGCAATTTCAATTTTTATCTCTTCCATTTTCGATCTTGGGTTTGTTATGGATAAATCATTGCAAAATTAAATTTGTGTGAAGGTTAAGAAGTGGTGGTTATGGCTTTTTCCCGGTGGGTAGCAACGACGAAAGGCAAAAGAAGATGGAGGTGTTAGAGGATTTTTTAAATTGGGGGTATAAGAGTAATTTTAAATATTTTTTTTTAAAAAAATTAATAATGACACGTGTCATGATCTTATTGGTGCGTGACATTACACGTATTTTTATAAACTGGTCAAGAAATAAGAGGTGTGTATTAGACACACTCTGAAAAGGTTGAGTGTGTAAGATGATTTTCGTGCTCAGAAAGTGTGTAACAGAGATTTGGTCCATAGTTCAAGGGGTAACTTATGTATTTTGCCTTTTTTAATGGGAGTGGTTGATCGAATACGAAGTTTAAAATATTTATTTATCGTGCATATTATATTGGTAACAATAGACAAAATTAAAAGAATATTAGAGCAATAACTAAAGATTCAGTTTGATAGAAAAATATCACATCATAGTTTAAAACTTTATGTTTGATAATTTGATTAATCACATAAATTTGAATTGTTAAAAGGTACTCCATTAAAATGCACAGAATAACATAATGAAACAGTGGGAAACATTTTCAGAGGGCTCGAAATGAAAACTATATTCTACTGGACGAGTAGTTGAATTAAAAGCTTGTGAACAAATAGTGCGTGTCCACGAACTGCGCCATTCTCATTCCTTTAACATACACAAAGTAGGAGTAATTAACGTCTTAATTAAGCGAAACAAAAATTAATTAACAAATTTAAAAACCCTGAAAACCATAACAGTTGTAATTAACACCCAAACCCCATGGTTACTGAAGTTCAGTTTCCAAAATATATCAGCATCTTCTTGCCTACTTCCCCCTCAGCTCACTCCTCCACTTTTTAGGGTTCCCCCACCCCACCCCACCCCACCCCACCCCACCCTCACCCCTCTCTCTTGAAGCTGACCACCCAACCATTCAAATCTCTTGGAAATCCCAGATCTATCATTCTATTTAAAACCTCATAAATCCTCATTAATATACTTCCCCCTTTAGACTAGTTGACTCATGTGCAAAAACATTTTCTTGATTTTTCTTCCATTTCCCAATATGAACCAAAATCGTACTCTCTTAATTTCTTCTAGATCTTTACATATCATTTGCAGCTATTACAATCTTTAACATTTTATTCCCAGCTTAAAAATCAAGTCTTTTTTTTGTTATTTCTAATTTGGTTATGTCATTTTGGGAATGATGAAACGGACAATGCGACCATTGTTCAGTGTGTTACTGTTAATGGCAGTGGCAGTTACACTTGCTGTTCGAGTTACCCTACGTTACAGCTCCATTGAGCTGAAAAATGAATACTCTTTTGCTGTGAAGTCTCAAAAACCAGTTATAAATGAGACACTTTTGAAATATGCATCTGTTGATATAGGGGAACCCAAGTTGAAAAAAGAAGTTGAGGAGTTATTGGAAGGGAATTTCAGAACCCATAGTCGTCATAGATCATTCTTGTCTTCAGGAAGATATAGAATAGATATAAGACCTAGGACAGCTAGAGGCATACCGGTACAACTCCGGTCACCGGAGTTTTATCGCCTTTGGCAGAGTTTTAGGAGGCATTTGCAAGATTGGTTTAGAAATAGGAAGTTTCGTAAGGAGGATGTAATGGTGGATTTGGTGAATACAGTTAAGGTTCCTATTGATAGACATAATGGGAAAGTGGGATCAGAGAAGAGATATAAATCATGTGCTGTTGTAGGGAATAGTGGGATTTTGTTGAAGAGTCAATATGGAGAGTTAATTGATAGTCACGAAGCTGTGATTCGATTGAACAATGCAAGAACTGGGGGATTTGAAGGTAGAGTAGGTTCAAAGACTACTCTTTCATTTGTGAATAGTAATATCTTGCATCTTTGTGCGCGGAGGGAAGGTTGTTTTTGCCATCCATATGGAGTGAATGTGGCCTTAGTTATGTATGTATGTCAGCCTGTGCATTTCTTGGATTACATGGTGTGTAATTCTTCACATAAAGCGCCATTAATTGTCACTGATCCGCGCTTTGACATGTTGTGTGCTAGGATTGTGAAGTATTACTCGTTGAAACGATTCGTGGAGGGAACTGGGAAGCCTCTTCAGGAATGGGCTCCTGCTCATGATGGAGCTAATTTCCATTACTCTTCTGGTTTGCAAGCTGTGATGCTTGCTTTAGGTGTTTGTGACAAGGTTAGTGTTTTTGGATTCGGCAAATCCTCTTCAGCTAAGCATCATTATCATACAAATCAGAGGGCTGAGCTGAAGTTACATGACTATGATGCAGAGTATGATTTCTACCGCGATTTGGTAGAGAGACCACAGGTAATACCATTCATCTCGGACAAGTTCAAGTATCCTCCTGTTTCTATATACCAGTGACATTTCCACTATAAAGTGAGATATTGATAGATCATATGTTAAGTACACATTTTTCTGTTTATCTTGTATCAGTATTCTTCCACGGGTAAGACTAGGTCAAATTGTAATTGTAGGTTATGCAGGCCCTTTGGGGTACAACTCAAATGTAAAATTGAATCACATGATGAATGAAATCTTTGGCGTGTTTCTTTGTTATTTTAGCTAAATTGCTCAGTGTTATTGCACCATTTGGTCTTATTACTAGAAGATATTTGAGTAACATACTTGGCACACAAATAAAACATGACTTAGCTCCAATATTAACAGCCCGACGATGACATAGTTGTGAACTCGATACAAAAGATTCTTGAAACACTGTTAAACAGAAGTACAAGCTAGGCTCGAGTGAAGGTATATGTCAGGTTTTCCTTATTCATGTTGATTGGAACAGAGTGTAGCTATGAAGGTTTATTATTAACATTTATAGCACATTTCTTATATCCATGTGCTGCAAAGCTCCCATACTGGAAAGGGAAAGATTGAGAAGTGATTGATCAAAGCATTTAATGTGAGACTTACCATAAAATGCTGGATTTTTCTTGAGAAGGTAAGTAATAATTTATAACTGCAAAAGTTATACCAGCTCTAAGATAGTGCAGATCTGTACAAAATTGGGATTCCATAGTACTGAAAAGATTCCATATGATAAAGAGCAATAAATCTATCATTTCATGTAACCACATAATGCTGGATTCTTATACCATCTACGTATGTTTGGTTGTTGTTTTGTTCTCGTGGAGGCTAACTATTGGTCTCTTCTGTCCCTGATGCCATTACGTTGTCTCGTATGTGTCTTGTACCACCGAGCTGCTTTGCATTTTGATGGAAATCGTCCATTCTGTGTTTCATTAGTTGTATATGGTATGTGACACACACTAGGATTGCTAGGAGTTGTTCCTGCCGATTCTGCAAGATGGCACGATTCGAAGAGTCTCTGCAAACAATCTCATATTGGAGTAATCCAAGAAATGGATGTTTCATTTGGCCTCGCCCTCTGTCTTAGGAAGTCGTTCGTGTCATTAATATCTGATTTAAGTTGACAAGAGATCTGTAGGCTTGCATTCTTTGTTCTGCTATTCTATGTTGCTCAGTCTATAGTGAGCCCCCCCCCCCCCAAAATAAGGAAGATTAAAGGAAAAAAGAAGGGTGTAAGCACAAGAAAGAAGAGAATGCTCTCACACGTCACAAGAGCCTCCTTGAGTAGCAAGATAAGGCATGAAAGGGTTTTACTTGTATCTTTGTTTTTGTTTGTAGTTGATCTTTGCATTTAAATTTTGAAATTATTTCTCCTTCGAACAGGCTTTTTCAGCCTTGAAAGCTATGAGATACAGGTACGTGTTTACATTCCTACATATTTGACTCTATTATTTGTAGGCCAGCTACATTCTGACTTTCCATCTTTTCAGGTGAGTCATGTAGAGATGGTTCTCCTCTTTAAATCAGTCTTTTTGTCTTAAACAAATAGAAAGTTAGCTGCAATTAATTTGACACGGGCAAATTTGAAGCAAAGAAACATGCTACATCTTAACTAACCAAAGCTACCCTTTAGACGTCTAAAATCCCTTTAGACGTCTGATAAGTGGACGCAAAGTATATGTACACACCATTGTTGTTTTCACTTTTCTTTATTCTATCCTTTTGCATTTTGTCATGAAGGCTCAGGCTTGTGTATATTTTACTGCATTTTGTCCTTGGCTGTATCGTACTCTACATTCTGTTCCTCAACTTCATTGTCACCAGGAATCATATGCTGACCTATTGAAAAACGAGTATGGAAAAGGTCAATGAACCAATTCAGAATATTTTAATACGACAGCTTGTCTTTAACATTGTTAAGAACCTGTTATTGGTCATAAACTGCATTTGTTGTCATATTCAAGTGGACTATCTACGTGCCCTGGTGGAATCAGCCGACTGTGTGGTACTTTTTGTATCATCCTTCCAACAAAATGCTCTGAGTCGATCATTGTTGAACTCTTCCTAGACCCTTGGTTTCTTCTCCTATTGAAGGAATAGCCAAAACCAAGAGTCACATCAGCATACTTCAAAAACATAACAATGCTCTGTACAACTGTTAAACATCTTTCATCCTCATGCAAGCTAACATGCAGGCAAATGTATCCGATGGAGCTCACGTACTCATGCATAAGGAAAGCGAATGATGGTAGCAGCTGATGTTTATGCAGAAATCATTTGTTTGAAATTAGTTAGGACTCGTGCCTGCTCAAGTTAGTGCAAGTCTGTGTAGATTAGTTGAGTGCTTGCTACTTTTAAGCTCATATATTAGTTAGTGTAAGTTGGTATGAAAGAGTTTCTTTTTTATTTTTCAACAAGTTTATATAGAAGAGTTGAGTGGTTGCAATGTGTAGCTATGTTGGCTAGCAGCATTTTGCCTTGTATATACATGATGATGGTTGTACACGACATATCAGGAGAATGAAGAAAACAGTTACACTCATTTCTCTTTCTGTCCCACCATTAATCTTTCTCTTGTTAAGTATTTACTTTTGATTGCAATCTTGTGGCATTTTAAAATGGTATCTGGTCCTATGGAGCCTGTCGATGCATCGATCATAGTGTGATTGTGATTCATATGTACTGGTTATCGTCTTCTTCTCTCTTTGGTTTTTGCTTGGATGATTGGATTTGAGTTCTGAAGTTTTGACAATCAAATTCATGCAATTCATTTAAGTAGTTCAGATAATAAGGTTTTACCTTAGCGTCATTATCATCGTTCTGTTGCTGGATAGGATCCGAGCTTTTCGTCAAAAAATTTGATTTATGGCTTTAAAAACACAAGCATTCTGATAATCCAGAAATTGTATTAACTAATTAATCCATTGTTTGATGGAAGTGATGCTAATTGCTTTATTTGCTAGAATTGAGAATAAGCCTCGCTATGGAATCACTTGTTCATGATTACTGTCATGGGCGGCTTTCCAGCCATGCCCCATGACCCCTTGGGCGCGCCCCGTGGCGTCCTAGCGAACCTCCCAATGCCTAGCGCCACTGACGGCCCCGTGGTCTTGGCCGCGCCAAGTGACAAGCGCGCAGGTGCCTCTGTCGCCCCACCGATATCCCTCGCGAGCGCCAAGCCGCAGGCAGAAGCCAACAGCGCCGCGCGCGCAGACAACGCCGCGCGCGCAGACCGTGATGCCAAAGACACTGCTGCTGACAATGGACCTGCTGCTGCCTTATAGAAAACTAAGTCATTTTCATTGTAAATATAGAGTAGTTTTATTTCACGTACTTCCATTATGTTTCTCTAGCTTAGTCAAGTCTAGTCTTGTAACTTTGGATTATTTTTTTTTAAGTACTATTAGGGGGGATCAAGCAATCAAAACTTTCTAGCAAGCAAGCAATTCTCTGTACTGGTGTCTCTCCCCCTCGACACCGCGTTGCTTTTCTGTAATAGCTTTCATTAATGCAATCAAGCTTTTTTTCATTCTGAATTCTCATTTCTGTTCTCTCAATTGCTCTTGACATTGGTTTTCCCGTACGGCACTGACAATCTCGTCTAGCGTACAGAGGGGACCTCAGTTGGCGGACAACAACTGCACCGACATCAGTTGCCTAGCCTTACGTCGCCCTTCCAAGGAATCTCAGGAAGGCGCCGCGTAACAGTACCTACGCGTTCGCGTAGAGTAAACCCAGGACCCCAGCCTTTTAACTTCTACTCGTTCGTGTTCCTTCCCACGCGATCGTGATGCCTACCCAGCTTACCCTTCGCGAACTCGAAGGGCATTTTTGCCCAGTGATTTTTAAAGTTCAAAACAGAACCAGTACGGGATTATTCCCATTCTTTCATAAAACTTGTCTTCTCCAAGCTCTAGGGGCGATTTTTGGAGCTTTTCTTCACCAAAGTCTTTGGGTAAGTAATTTCCCACCTAATTCCTTCACTCCTCTTCATTAATTACTGAATTTCTAGACCTAAATCATGAAATCAAAGTAGGAATTAAGAGTTTTGGATAGAGCTAGGGTTTTGAGAATTTTGGGTGATTCAACCTCAATTTGGGGTCGAATCTTAATACAAATTGCATATTTGAACTCGTGGGGTTATGGGTGATTGAGTTTTGGTCCGAGCCTCGTGTTTGGACCATGCGGGCCCGGTGTCGAATTTTGGTATTTTTGGAAGAATGCTAGGAAATTCATATCTAGGCTATGGGATGTTGCCATTGAGTCTTTATGAATATTATTGAATTAATTATGCCTAGATATCATTGTTTCGGAGTCGGATTGTAGAGGAAAGGCGGTATTTGAGGATTTATTGCTATTCTTTGGACCGAGGTAAGTGTTTGATCTAACTTTGGCTTGATGGAATAGGATTAGAGTATTATTTGCTAATTGCTAAATATTGAGTATGGTGTATAGGCATGGTGACGAGTATCTATACACCGGTGTCTAGCATGACCGTGAGTCCTTATTTGTGCTTATTTGGGATTCGGTAGTGACTCTTCCTTGTTAATTGATGGTTTCTATATGATATGAAGAGAATGACAAGGAAATGTGATTTGTAAACTCCTTGGAGCATTGGCTCGATTTTTGACTTTATTATAAAGTAAGAAATGAACGTAATAGAAAGAGATATGATTATTACCTTGCCGGGATGTTTTGAGTATATTGATTATCTCCCTTGCCGGGATTTAACTGTTTTGCTTTGTTCTCCCTTGCCGGGATATTTAATGTTGTTTGTCTATCCCCTCGCCCCGTTTGGTTGTGATTGTTGTTTGGGTGAGTACGAGTGATTAGGCACGAAGGGTCATTCCATGCCATGTTTGATTATTATTGCACGAAGGAACATTCCGTGCCATGTTTTGATTATATTTGCACGAAGGAACATTCCATGCTATGTTTTGATTGTATTTGCACGAAGGAACATTCCGTGCCATGTTTTGATTATATTTGCACGAAGGAACATTCCGTGCCATGTTTTGATTATATTTGCACGAAGGAACATTCCGTGCCATGTTTTGATTATTAATGCAC